TGGAAACTCTGGTGGCTGATCTTAAATCAAAATCTTGTAACAATGAAGGAAGGCTCATGATGCCCATTTGAGAGATGAGAAAAACTGAGGCCCCGAGAAGGTTAATTTGCTTTGAATTATAGAGAAGTGAGTGAAGGCAAGGTCGTGTCACTCAAAAGCCCACGCTCCAAGCTCTGTGCAGAACTTTTACCCATGCCTGGCAACTGATTGCCTGTAATGTAGGAACAATCCTGGGAAGGCAGAATGGAGGGCTGAGAGCTCACACCCCTCAAGGAACACACACACACACACACACACACACACACACACTTGCTTTGTGTGTCTGGTCTTTCTCATCATTCAGTTCCCAGCTTGCCTGATATCTTTTCCAAGCAGTCTCCCCCTCAGACAGCCTCCTGGGCTCTTTTCCTCCTTTGAAATATGATCTTTGCCATTGGCTAAAATGGCGTACAGGAGGGTCCGTCAATGTATAGGAGGGCCTGTCCACAGACTGTCCTCTCCCATCCAGGAGCCAGTTGCTTCTTTTGAATATATATTTTTTACATTTATTTATTTATTTATTTATTTATTTATTTATTTATTTATTTATTTATTTATTTATTTATTTTTGTGTGTGTGTGTGTGTACACATGCACATGTATGTGTGTAGGCATACATTTGCCACAACTTTCAGGGAGCTGATTATCTTCTACTGTGTGGAGTCCAGGATCAAATGCAGATCTGCAGGCTTGGATGGCAATCACCCTTACCTGCTGAGCCATCTTGATAACCTTGACAGCTACTTCTTAACATGACCATTCTTATAGGTTTATTTTTATTTTTTATTTTATTTAAATTTTTTTTTTAAAGATAGAATCTCACTATGTAGCTCTGGCTGGCTTGGAACTCACTATGTATACTCAGCTGGCCCAGAACTGACAGAGATCTGTCTGCCTCTGCCTACTGAGTACTGGGATTAAAGTTTTGCCATCACACCTGGCTCCATGTTCTTTTTTATATTAGGTATATATCCTCATTAGGATTTCTATTGTGATGAAACACCATGACCCAAAAGCAAGTTGGGGAGGGAAGGGTTAATTCAGCTTACACTTTCATGTTCAGCACCAAAGGAAGTCAAGATAGGAACAAGGCAGGAACCTGGAACAGGAGCCGATGCAGAGGCCGTGGAAGGTTGCTGCTTACTGGCTTGTTTCCCCTGGCTTCTTCAGCCTGCTTTCTTATAGAACCCAGGACTATGAGCCCAGGGATGGCACCACCCACCATGGGCTAGACCTTCCCCCATTAGTCACTAATTGAGAAGATGCCTCAGAGCTGGATCTCATGGAGTCATTTCCTCAACTGAGGCTCCTTCCTCTCTGATGACTCCAGCTTGTGTCAAATTGGCACACGAAACCAGCCAGCAAAGTATATATAGCTGGAGTCCCCGGTTACCTTTACAGAAGTGGTTTTGGGTAGACTCTACCAATGGGAGAGAAGGCCTGGTGTCTTCTTTAAACAGACCTACAGTACACATTAAAAAGAATGCAGGCATGTAGTTTGAAAGCAAGGAGAGTGCTGGGCAGTGGTAGCACACACCTTTAATCACAGCACTTGGGAGGCAGAAGCAGGCAGATCTGTGAGTTCGAGGCCAGCCTTCTGTACAGATCTAGTTCCAGGACAGCCAAGGCTACATAGAGAAACCCTGTCTTGAAAAACAAAAACAAAACAAAACAAAAAGCAGAAAAAAGAAAGGAAGGAAGGAAGAAAACAAGGAGGCTATTCGTGATGTCAAAACGCACACTTGAAAATCAACTCAAAGATACAATTTGAACACAGTGGATGGTGAAGTTATCATCAGAGAAGAGAGCTGCTGTGAACTGCAGAAGAAGGGAGCTGCCAGGTTGGCTCACATGCAAAACTAGCATGTGTCAGCAGGTGCTTCCCATGATCCAGGCTGGGTAACAGACCCATGCATGTGCCTGTCTTTTCCAGGCAGTGATGACGCTGTTAGAAACACTTGCGGAAGGAAGAGGTGGAAAGGGACAGGTCTAAGTTTGTAGCACCTTCTCCCATGGGGTGATTTTTGTTCTTTAGGTGATCCAGGGGGCCTCTCGGCAGCCTCTTAGGACGTGAGCGTGGCAGAAATCCCACCCTGTCCCTTTTATTCACCATAGTGTCCCCAGCACTCCTGGCAGTGCCTGTGGGTGGATGGCAGCTTCCTTTGATGCCCACCAGCCTCTTCATTGCTCCATTCCAGCTGGGAGAACTTGCTCCCCCTGACAGGGTCTTCCTGCTCCTGCCCCAGTGCCCTCTGGGGACCCTCGGAATGTTGCAGTGACCTCAGATGATATGGCCGGTACTGGGGGCTGCTGTGAGGATGATGAGCCCTCTTCTCTTTTTCTCAGGCTGTGGCACATGCCAGAAGCAGGAGGTTGGCTGGAATGCCCATGCCTTTGCACTTGCACATATGGTATGTGTGTGAGCATCTCCATGTGCAGAGGCCTGTCACTCATCTCTGGCTATTCAAACTCAGGAACCAGAGAGACCCTAGCAACTCTCCAGATGGCTCCATGAGGACAGTGCTCACTGTTCACTGTCCCAAGTGCAGCAGTTGAATAGACAAGGATGACAACACTTTTCTTACCCCTCAAGCAAGCTCTTACTTCTTAGGAATGAAATAGACTCAGATAGTAAGGGATGTTTGTATATCGATATACAGTATGTATTCATATAGGCTATATGATAATTTTAATAACTGACACCTGTGTCTTGAGAAAACTGTATTAATGAAGTTAATGTAAGTTTGGGACAAGTTTTAAATGATTTGTTGTTGTTGTTGTTGTTTGAGACAGGATTTCTCTGTGTAGCCCTGGCTGTCCTGGAACTAGCTCTGTAGACCAGGCTGGCCTCGAACTCAGAGATCTCCCTGCCTTTGCTTCCCAAGTGGTGGGATTAAAGGTGTGTGCTACCACTGCCTGGCCACTATTTTTAAATTCTTATTTTTTTTCATATTTATTTTTATTTTCGTGTGTGTGTGTGTGTGTGTGTCTGGGTGTGAGTCAGTGCTCAGGAGTGCAGGGCCTTTGCAGGACAAAGGAGTCAGATCCCCCTGAGCTGGAGTACAGGCAGTCCAGAGCCTCCTGATGCAGGAATGGAAGTTGGGTCCTTTGCAAGAGCTGCGTGTGTTTTTAACTTCTGATGCATCTCTCTAGCCCCACTGGTTGTGTTTTGGAGTCACAAAAATCTCTACATATATTTGAAAATGAGAAGACAATTGTATTTACCATATCACAAAAATATTTAGGTATAAATCAAATTCCAGCTGTTTGTTATTAGTGTGTAGAAATGCAGTGAATTCTTGCATATTAATCTCGGTTCCTGTGGTCATGTTGTACTCAAGCACTAGTTCCAGTAGTTTTTCTTTCTGTGGAGTTTTTGCTTTCTGTGTAGATGATCATGTGATCTCAGAATAGACTCGGGTTTGTTTCTTGTTTTGCAATCTATATTTTCCATTTTTTTCTTGTCTTATTGCACTAGCCCAAAACTTCCACATACATTTGGAAAATAGTTTCATATCCATGGCAGAAAGTCACAATCAGACCTCCTTTCAGTAAACCCGGGCCTTAAGGGTGGGAAACCGAGTGTCCCTGTCCTGCTGAAGTTTCGAGGGGCTCCATAGAAAGTGTGGGGGCAGAAATGACTTTGCATCTAGAGAGGATTCCACGTCGGTGCTTCCTGTGACCTCTGCCCTTTTGTGTTTCAGAATGTTCTCTCTCTTGGCTGCAAACCATAGAGCATAACCTGGGTATGTGTCTGGGAGTTTGTGCTGGGCAGGGCAGGGCAGGAGGGCTGGCCTCTCCAAAAACTGTTCATGCACAGGGTGGGGAGCAGTGCCAGCATCCTGCAGGTTGGTGGGATGGGGTGAACTGAGGCTGTAGCAGGTTCCCACAGAGTGCATTGTAAGGTGCTCCTTGCTTGAGCACTGGGGAGGAGTCCACCTCTCATGGTTCTCAGTACCAACTGTGTTCCAGATGGACTCCTCTAGATTCAGAGGTACATTTTTTTCCCATGGAGGATCTTTAATCATGTTTCTTATCATACAGATGGGGAAGCTGAGACAGGAGCATTGTTGGTATTAGCTCCCAGCCCTCTGTGGCCAAAGCCTCTGCCCCAGGGAAGATGTACCCCACTGCATGTTGATTTTACTGTTTTTTTTTTTAAACGGAACATGCACAAACTATAGGATGCAGCCTTATTTTACATATCAGTGAGGAGAAGGAATGAATGATGCTATTTAGCTCATGATGTACCATCCCCCTAAGTCACCACCCAGTTCCAAAGATGTTAATGTGGGGAAGGTGCCACTTATAACTGGTAAAAGGAGACAAAAATCTTGTTAATCATATAAGATTACACACGCAGTGTTAAAGCTGAGTTTCCTCTGTCTCTTATCAAATTCCACTCCATAGAGATAAATGTTTATAAACGGCATCTTGGCATGTGTCCTCCCAAACATTTTAACACCTCCGGAAGTGTATTTATGTAATAATTACTGTTCCAAACACTTGATCTTTGCAAGACATGATGCTAAGCTTTTCAATGCATTTTGTTTAATCTTTGCAATAAGCTCATAAGGCTGGCATGGACTAGTCCCACAGTCTAGATGAAGAAACTGAGGCACAGAGAGGAGAGGCAACTCACTTGACATTACACAGCTTCTAAGAGGCAAGGCCTGAGCTTGAACCCAGGCCCGAGCCCTTAACCGACATGCCACACATATCCCTCAGTATGCAGGTGTATGTGATTTTTAAAAAGGAGGTCAAAAGAATGTTCTGGAACTTTCTTGTGTATTTCTCCTAACCATACTCCATGGGCATCTTTCCATGTCAGCTCCTAAAGCACTACTCCATTCTTTCAGCAGTTGCTGGGAATCTCATATGGCTGTGTATGGATGTGTATAGCTCATCTCCTGGACATGAACACTGGGGTTTCTCTTGCAGTATTGGTATCACTTGAAATGCTATGATGAACAAGTTATGCCTCTGTCTTTGGGAACTTCCGCAGGAAAATTAACCAGGTTGATTTTCTTCTACCACTTCCATGGTTTTCATTCTCAAGCCAGATTGCAATCTACCTGCAATCTCTTGCATCTCACAGGCCTTGGAGTGTGTATGCAGAGGGCTTCATGTGCATGCTGGTCCCATGGGAGCCCCAAAGTGCTGAACAGAGAGAACTAGAGAGCGGGGGATGGGGAGAATAGGTGCCAACTGTGTTCTTGCCCTATTTCCATTTGGCCCCAGGGCAGGATGTATGACGGGGCAGAGTTTGGTGTAAGGGACCACTCTCGGTGTCCATGTTTCCTCTCTGCTCTGGGGGGCCCTTAGCCCTGCATGCTGCTCTCCGAGGAAACTGATAGTAACTGCTGCCATTTCTGAGCCTCTTGAAACTTGAGCACTGAGCATAGACTTTCTTATCCATTCAGCTGGAGATTGATTGTCTGCAGTGGGGAAACTGAGGCTGGGATGGACAGGGAATGGCTTTTCAGATTGCTAATGGCAGAGACAGGACACATCCTCAGTCATGTCCCTCCTCACTCAGATGTGGGTAGTGCTGAGTCCTGTCATGGCCTGCATGTGCTGTGTGTGGCTGACATCTTTGGTGGTCAACAGGATGCCTGGTCTTCCCATGTGACTTGGCCAATGAAATGTGAACAGAGCATGCCATTTCTGGGCAGAAGAGTTGAAAACTGGGCATGATGTTCTGCATTTCCTTGCTTCACCAGACCTTGACATCTCATTTGGAGATGGTGACATCATAAGGTGGTGGCCCCTTGGAGCGAGAATGATGAGAAGCGTCTTATCTGACCCGTGGAAGTGGAAGTGAATCAGTGCTGCTATAAAGAGCTGAGATAATTTATTACCATGGCTCAACGTCTGCTGACCAATATACTGTCTCCTTGGCTAGGTCTCTCATCTTCCCCTCAACTCTTTCCCTGTGGAGCTTCCTCAGAGTTTTTGGACTTAAACGAAAACACTGTGGTGAGAAGGATTAGTGTGGTCTGAGGCTACAGAGGGGGAGAACTCAGACATGGAGGATGTAGCTGACCTTTATCTGAGGGGCCCGGGACTGACCCCACCGTATCGGGTCATTCTCTTAGTCTCGACTAACACATATGCTCTCTTTGGTAGGTGGCCCTTCCCCGGGTGGCGGTGCCTCCTGGCACCTTCGGAATGTCCTCAGTGATTCGGTGGAGAGTTCAGATGACGAATTCTTTGATGCTAGAGGTGAGTGAGCTCCCTCTCCACACCACCAGTTGGGTGACCCTTGGAGAAGTCCTAAAAAGTGGATGCCTGCTGAGGACTGGTACCTCCTCCACCCACACTTGCAGTTTCCCACTCCATACTTAGACAATGGGTGGGATTTGGAATATTGTTTAAAGCTCCTAATGTGTGTGAGGTGGTTGGGAGACCATGGAGTATGGTGCCCTCATCACCATATAGTCTAGCTCGAGAGGCAAATGTCACGAGACACTACAAAGGCCACTGATGGGAGTGATGTCATCAAGAAAAATGTACCTTCTGACATGAGGGAGAATGCAGCCAGGGCACCGGCCTTGATGTGGGCAGGGTACCCTTTCTGCAGAGGTGGGAAGGAGGAGCTTGCCAGGTGAGGAGAAGAAAGAGCCTTCCAGACAGATGTGACGGCAGGTATGGTGGCTCCGAATTAGGAAAGACTGAGGAATATTTTGGCTCTGAAGGGAGGCCCATGTGGTGGTGGTGGTTGGAGGTGGTGCACTAAGGGGAAAGGAGGGATGGATGAGACTGGTCCGGGATGCCTACAGTATCTACATGTCTTCTAAGACAGGCCTCACAGATAGGAAGAGAACCACCAGCGATGCTCAGGGGAGCTGTGACAGATAGTGGGCATCCAAACAACACCCAGAGGGACCCCAAGAGGGGCGTTTCAGGTGGAGGGAACACAGGAGCCAAGGTGTGATTGTACCAGGCAGATGCAGGGGTGGGAGGCGAGTCAGTCTGGAATTAGGAGAGAAGAGAGGTTGGTCGTGCTGAGCCAGGCTGGGTGCGAGTGGTGAAAAACCCTGCTAGCCCTGATCCTGGATGAAGAGGGTCCTGGTGCCTTCTAGCCTTGTTAGTCTCACCCTGGGACATCACCAAGGCTAAGGTGTTGACTTATTTGGAATGAGGCTAGTTTAAAATGCTTGTTAAACATGATCTTGAAGACAGACAGATGGTGCTAGACAGCATCTAGACCCAGAACAGGTCAGCGGGGACTGGCCTGAACATGACCCTGACTTTGGCTTCAGGTATGCCTTTCCCCTTCTTGGGGGCTCAGTTTCCCCTATCAGTTCTGTATATCCCCAGTTGGAGAATATTTCCCAAATATTGGGGTTCAGGGGATTTTGGGGGGAAACTGGCTGGATGCCAGTGACTATCCCTACTCAAGGCTTCCCCATCCTTGGCTCTGGGCAGGGAAACCTCTCCCCAATGCTGTCCCTAAACCAGCCCGTTGGGGGCTCATTTCCCATCTTCCCTTGGTGTCTGATTGGAGTGGCTGCCAGGGCTGCGTTTCTCCATAGCAACTAGCCCACAGTGTGACAACACAGCTTCAATATTTTGATACGCAGAAGAGTTTCATTTCAATATTGCTGCAGTTCATCAGGGCTGTGTGTCCCTAGCTGCTGTGATGGCATGCTGCAGAGGCAAGCATCTGTGGGTGGCACCGGGTCATGTGTGTCTTGGGCCTGCTGACCCATCTCCCCTGTGAACAGCTGGAGATCTTTCCTGCCCCCATCCCTGGGACCACTGTCTCTCAGCTGCCCTCAGCTGTGTCTGCTCTCCCCTCCGCAATCTCCGTGAACTTGGCCTTCCCATGCGCTCCCCTGTCTCTGCGGCACATCTTTGTTCCTTCCTCTCTTTGTCTTGTCAGCTCCTTCTTTTCTCTCCCTCCAGGCGGGGCCTCAAACCCAGATCAGATAAGAGCTGGGATGCCCCTCAAGGTCTTCGATGTGTTTGTGTGTATTTGTGTGCAACATGTCTGCACATGTGATATGTTTATGTGTGCATGTGTTTGTGCATAGACAATAGAAATCAACCTCGAGGGTCGTTCTTCAGGTGCTGTCTACCTTGGTTTTGGAGACAGGGTCTTTCATTGGCTTGAGGAACACCAATTAGACTAGCCAGGCTAGTCAAAGAGTCCCGGAGACCCACTTGTCTCCATCTCCCCAGCTCTGGCATTACAGATTACCCAGCCTTTTACATGGGTGTTGGGGATCAAACCAAGGCGCTCACACAGCAAGCATGTTACTAGCTAAGCCGTCTTCACAGTCTGCTCCCATTTTACAAGGTGAGAAACTGAGGCAGGGGATTTATTTAGGGCTTCAGACTGTAGCAGAGCAGGGGGTGTAGAATTCTACCTCATGTACCCCTTCTTTCTCAAGTATTTATTGAGTATATGTTCAACCAGTGTTGATCCCCCACCCTCAGTGTAGAGATTGAAGACAGACCACATTCCAGTCCTCATGGAGCTTTGCCTTAGACAACAGGTGGAACGGGAGAAGACAATGCACAAGCTAAGAAAATTCATCAGGAATTGCTATGAAAACAACACAAAGCCATAGGCACTTCATCGCAGAGGATGTTCGAGTGGCAAACACACAGGTGAAAAGTCGCTCAATACCGTCACTCATCAAGGAAGGCAAATCAAAACTGGAGAGAGGACTGGAAGGGTAGCTCAGCTGGTAATGTGTTTGCCTTGCAAGTACAGGGACCTGAGTGCAATCCCCCAGCAATCCACTTACCTGGAGACACCAGGCATTGTTATAGTCCTGGAACTGTGGAGGCCAACAAATGAGTCCTTGGGGCTCGCTGTCCTCCGGGCCAGTGAGGGGCTCAGTCTCAAGGAAGCGGATTGTGTTCCTGAGGATGATACTAAAGTCGTCCTCTGCTCTCCACATATAATTGTACATGCATGCATGTGTACACGCACACATTAAAAAACAAAAACAAAACCCCCAAACCTGTAAAGATGGGTTGGTGAGATGGTTCAGGAGGTAAAGTTGCTTGTTGCCAAGCTTGATGGCCTGAGTTTGATCCAAGGAACCAAGATGGTGGAAGCAGAGAACCATCTCCTGAGAGATGCCCTTTGACCTCCACATGTGTTCTGTGGAATGAGTCCCTCTCCAGATGCACACAAAATAAACAAATATAAATATAGTGGATTGTTTAAACGGCAATGATACCACTATGTACCTATTAGAATGGTTTATTAAAACAACCAGCTGAAATGTGGAAGAACTGGTCATTTCAAACTATTCTGGGAGGGAATGAACAATTTTAGAAAATTGATGGCGGCTACAAAGTGGGATGGGAGATGTAGCTCAATGTGAAGTCTCCCAGCATGCCCAAGGGCCCGGGCTTCATCCTGGCCTACAGCCCTTCTACTTCTAGGTGTTTACTTAAATTAAGGGGGATGTTATGCCAGCTTAATTTCTTCTAGTCCCAATCTGAAAACATCCCAAGTGAAAACCAGTGAGCGAATGGATAAACAGTCTGAGCTAGAAGAAAGGAATGAGCTGAAGCATGCAACCATGCAGACAACATCAGCATAAGTCACCCTGACAGAAAACAAGTCCGACTGGAGCTGAGCACACTGTGTGACTGCCCTAGCAAAAAAAAAAAAAAAAAAACTCTAGAAAATGCCAAGGCACCCCCAGGGACAGGAGCAGATGAACGGCTCCTCAGAGTGGGAAGGAGGGGGGAAAATAACAGGAGAAAACGGAGTGTGATGAGTTCGCAATTACTGCCTTGCAGTATCTACAGTTGTCAAAACAGCACATTATCTGTTTCATTTAATTAATTAATTAATTAATTAATTCATTTCTCCAAAAATTTTGTTAGGAGGTTTAAATTTACACCATAAAAAAGAATGAAAGTTGAAAGGCATTGAGATCTAAATGAAAACTGTTTTGGGATTGCTCTTCTTGTGGTCCATGATGTCCAGGCACATTCCTTCACTGACTTGAGAAGTACCTACAAGTTTGGGCCTCCTCTCTGGCATCTAAGTACCCACCCCTCCTTCGATGAATATGCATGAACAAGCTGGGCTTGGCCTTTACAGGGCCAGTGGCTGGGAAATGAGGGATCCGGAGACTGATTATATTTAGGCACCCTGGCCCTGGGAAGTCTAACCAAGAACAAGGCAAAGAGACACCCTCACCCTCACAGGATGCCAAACTTCTGTCCTTTATTTTTCTCTGTTCTCTTCTTGATACTCAGGGTTAGGCTTCATTTAAGGCTGGAGCCTATAGACCTGGATGCTGGGCAGCATAGTCCATTCATGGTTGTAGCCCCCTGCCTCCCATAGTAACTAGGAGAAGGTGGTGCTGGGGTTAATAAACCCATTTTACAGAAGACTCTAAGGCAAGGTCAGGTCTCATAGCTGATGGGGAGCTTAGGCCAAGTCTTCCCTCCTTGGTTGGGTTTCTGCTGTGATCACATGGACTCTCAGAGACTCCAAGTTCGAACAAGAGGGAGAAGGAAACCTGGGGTCTGAGGGCCCAGGTCTTCATCATGGTAGTGCCACTGAATGGCTGCTCTCTGAGCTCAGGCATGTGTCAAAACCCCTGGCTGGAGTCCTCCTCTAGAAGACAATAGGAATGTAGCCATTTAGCCCATGGATGAAGAGGGGGGAGGCCATGGGGAGTAAAGTGGTGGTTGCTAGACAAAGAAACTATTATAGATGCAAACCACAGGGGTCTCTAAGGCCCTGCCCTCATCCCATATTAGGGGAAGGGAGGGAGGGAGTGCCATGATGCTGCCTTGAAGTTTCTGGAGGTGGGTAGAGTGGAACCCATCATCTAGGTGAGGGAGAATACTCATCTAGGTGAGGGAGCATAGCATAGAAAAGTTCAGGAGATGAGGTCTGTGTTAGTGCAAGGTGAAGGTGAGGACCAAGAAACAAGCACTCAGGTCCTTAGAAAGACTTTTGGTGGGCTTGATGTGGATGGTATTGGACAACCAAGTAGAAAAGGTGACAAGTCCTCTGCTTCATGAGCTGGAGGCTCAGGACAGTCCCTGAGCCCTGGGAAGGAAGAAAGGCTTCCTGATAGCTCTGGAGCCTGGGCTTACAGGGCACTCCCAGGCTTTGTCAGGGGCAGAGCCAGGGGCAGAGTGGTGCTGGGGTTAAGGTTAGAGTTGTACCGATGGTGAGTGAGGCTCAGCATGGAGCTTAGCACGGGGAGGAATCGGAGCTCCATGATGTAGTTGCTACAGCGGTGTCTGCACCAGAGGCTACCTGGGTATGGGAATTAGCGTGCAAAGGAACAGATACACAATTCCCATGGCAGTCATGCCCGTGTTTTCTCTGGGGTTCCGTGGGGGTTATGGGGAGGCAGTTCAACGGGGAAGAAATGTGGAGGGAGGCTAGAGATGGGCCTTGTAGCCCCTCTGTTAGGAAACACTCCAAAAGGAGCCATTTTGCATGCTGTGCATTCTCTCCCCACTTCGTCCCCGTGTGTGTGTGTGTGTGTGTGTGTGTGTGTGTGTGTGTGTGTGTGTGTGTTCTCAGGGCCTTGTAGGGGACAAAGCTCATTGTTTCCAGAGTGAATATCTGAAGGCTGAGTGTGGAGAGTGGGGACAGGCCAGGATTCCAGAGGGAGGAAAAGGCAAGAGACAAAGCATTGTGGAAAGGTGGGCAAGTGAGGGAGGACAGGGCAAAGGCATGACCCAGGGGGGAGTCAGGAAAGGAAGCATGAGGGAGAGAGGACGGACACACACACACACACACACACACACACACACACACACACACACACA